AGTGGTCGACGTGACCGAAGTTGGCGAGTGGCTAAGGTCGGAAGGGATCATAGTCTACAGGAGATGGTGGTTGAAGGTTCCGTAGTCGACTAGCGATGGTGGTTAGAGGGATCGTAATTGGAGGGTGACAATAGTTTGAGGGACCATAGTTAGAGGGTAACGATGGTATAATGGAATGTACTCAGCGGACGATGGTGGTCAAAGGGAGGATAATCGACAGGCGATGCTGGTCGGAGGGACCATAGTCAGTTGTAGACGGTCCTCAAAGGGACTATAGTCAGCGAGCGATGGTGGTTAGATGGTCTGTAGTCAACGAGCGACGGTGGTTGGAGGGACCGTAGTCGATGGGCGACAGACGGAGGTAGGAGGGATTTTAGTCGGTTAGTGATGAAGGTCCAAGGGACTGTAATCGGTAGGCGATGAAGGTCAGAGGGACTACAGTCGACGAGCGACAATGGTCGATTGGACTGTAGTATGTGGGCAACGATGGTTGGAGAAATCATAGTTGGCGAGCGACGGTGGTCAGAGGGATCATAATTGAAGGATGAAGGTGGTATGAAGGAGTGTAGTCGGCGGGTGGTAATTATCAAAAGGACTGTAGTCGATGAGCGGCAAAGGTCAGAGGGATCCTAGTCGGTGGGCGACAGGAGTTCGAGGGAACGTAGTGGATGGATGGTGGAGGTTGAAACCTCAGTGATGGATGCTTGACAGAGATCCTATGGAAAAGTTCAAACAGATGTCCGGTAAAGGTTGTCTCATGGAGAAGGTTCATTGGTGGTGGTGCTAGAGTGGAATTCTAGGATGCTTCTAGACTTGAAGCTTTGTTGAGTTTCTAACCCAGGGTCTATGTCTCCAACTCCAAGTCCTAACGGTCCAAACCTCCTTTCATGTGGCAAGAAGGGGTTTGTTTATAGATTTTGTTAGTATATGCCCTGTAAATATATAGAAGATTTGGGACAAATTTGGAGTGTCCCATCAAAAGTTTTAGCCTTTGCAGAGTTCGAGAAAAAAAAGTTTTAGCGTTTCAAAAGGTTGGAATATAAATTATAATTTTTAAATAATTATGAGGCATGACCGTTCCCTGGATGTTAATGTGGACCTCCCATGGGGGCCGTGAACTAAGTAAAATACCCTTGATCATAACGTTAGAGTTAACTGAAGTCATGGCATCGATTGGAGCAAGAAACATTGAATATTTTCAATCCAAAATTTTTAAATTTGATTAAAATTGATAGTAATGAAAGTACTAAAATTGAGTATGGAATATCACAAAATGATTTCAAGGATCTAAAAAAATGTCTAAATCAAACTTCTAAGCCGAAGATCGTACTTGGACGTGAATTGGGAGCCGAAACAGCCGGTTGACTTACGAGCACCACCTATAGTCAAAAGCCCGGCCTTGCGCGACGCATGCGCACAAGCCGCACAAGGTTCAATTTTTTTAAAATTAAATTTTAAAAAAATTGACTATATGTTTGCTGAAATTGGTGTTTGGATTATCTCGAATTTAATTTAGGATATTACAATCTAATTTATACCTCGATATTTGTGCTATATCAAGATGATTTTTAACGATGCATCACTACTCAACAACAAATCCATTCCATAGATATATATATCATTCCATAGATGTATATTTATTGGGGCATCATCATAATTAGGTAGAGCTTTATTATCTTATATTTAATTTTTTAATGCACTAATTATAAGTTGGTGAAACATCAACAACAAGTCGATGATAATGGCTTAAGTGGTCTCACTAAAACAGTTAAGCATATGAAAATTAAAACTTGATACCATTCCTGTGCATGTGTCCATGCCTTCCGACACACTACTGCTAATAAGAATGATTCTTCAACCAATAATGCAGAGTCGCTATCTCTCTTACTATTTATGAAAACGACGATTTGACATTTCAAGATCAGAATGAATCAATCAATATGGAAGTCTATTGGAAGGATCCCAATCAGTCTCAAACAGTTTCGTCATCACATTTGGGTCCATAAAGCTACAAACCATTTCTTACCTTGATGTTTGTAATTGGCATATTTAGAAGATTTTCAGTCACTAACTTACAAAATCTTGAACTAGTTAAGATATGTGGGATCAGCTACATGAATCCTTTTTCTTTATTGTATCTGATTAAGAGTCAAATTCTCTTTTAGATTTAATAAAGAAATGTCATTTCTATTTTTTTTAAAGAAAAATTTATTCCATCAAAAAAGAGAAGTACAACAAGCATAAAGACCGAATACAAGAAAAGATTACAATAGGGGAGACCGAGAAGATAAATAGGCACAAAAGCCCACCGGGCTCAGTATTTGACAAAGGCTTCCAACCACTCCGAAGCCAGACATGGACCATACAGAAGAGTGAAAGAACAATAATCCACCAAAAAGTCAACAATCCGTCAATCCGTCAGCATCGCAAAAAGGTCCCAACAAAACTAAGAAGAAACACCACCAAATGTTGCCAATGAGCCACGGATCCAGAGTGGTGAGCCCGTGCCACATCATAGCCCAAAAAATAAAAGCTATAACCGCAGAGCCAATAAAAGACCACAACCAGAAAAACAAAAATGTCGCCAGCAAAGAAAAACACCAAATCGGCAGCCACCAATTATAACGCAAGCAAAAGTCATTTATAATATTTTATAACCAAGTCTTTTTAGATCTATCTCTATTTTTTTTAATATAGGTTAAATCTTATATATCTACTCTCCTAATTAAGTTATCGGAAGACTGCCGTTTTATATGACCGAACCATCTAAGACGACTCTCTCTAATCTTATATACCATTGGAGCTACTCCAACTTTTTCACGTATATGCTCATTTCATGAAGCTAAGAATCCAACACACACATAAAATAGGGTCGCACATAAATTTTCTGTGCTCCGATGAGATCTAACTAATTTAATGATTATATAGAAATTGAAAATTAAAAAAATGCTTAAAAATAAAATAGGAGTTCTTATATTGATAGAACTCTTAAGCATGATAAGATTAATGGTAGCATGATAGAATCTAGACCTAATTGGTCTTCCTAAAATAATGATAGGTAATGGAGCTAAAATAAAGAAGTTTTATTTTAAGGAGAGCAGGATGAGATCTAGGGGTGTCAATTTTTGACACGACACGAAACCCGACCCGAACCCGACCCGGAAAAATCCGGGTTCGGGTCAACCCAAACCCGAAACGGGTCGGGTTCGGGTTCATGAAATCAACCCGTTTTAAAAATCGGGTCGGGTTCGGGTTGACCCGCCAACCCGAAATTGACCCGAAAGTGACACGAAAAATCATTTTTAACCCGAAAACCCGAGATTGACCCGTTTTTGACCCGATTTTGACCCGAAAACCCGAGATTGACCCGATTTTTGACCCAAAAATTAGCATTTTTGGGTCAATCCCGGGTCATTCGTGTCGGGTCGGGTTGACCCGGACCCGAATCGGGTCGGGTTCGGGTCCAGAAACCTGACCCGTTTTTAAAAATGGGTCGGGTTCGGGTTGACCCGAACAGTGCCGGGTCAGTTCCGGGTTCGACCCAAACCCGACCCGTTGACCCGAATTGACACCCCTAATGAGATCTACTTCGTTTGTAGTTGAATCACATAGCTGTGTCAGGGTAGCTCATCATACTCTTTGTAGTGGTATGCAATATATAGTTAATCTTAATGATAGTTTTTCTAATTATATGGTTCTCTAAAAATTTTACCATTTCAAAATTTTAGTAGAAAATTTTATCAATTCTAAAATTTAGTTGAAATTTAATTTAAACTTAGTTTTTTTTTTAATTTAGATCTAATGATAGAGAAAAAAATTTAGATTAATATTGTGTATAAGAAATTTATGTTACTTTAATTTTAAAATAAATATTGATAAATTTTAACAATCATAGGATATCTTCATAGAATTATTTATTGCTTTCTTGAACATGCCGTAAATTATTTTAGTTAATTCATAAATCAAATCAACAAAACTGTCAAATGCATAAGCTAACTTCATCTAACATCTAAGGCTTTGTTTGAGACAACTTTCTTAGGCTTCGTTTGAGATATTTTTCTTACAACTTCTTAAAATAGCTTTCTAGTACAAAAAATTAAAAATTTGTACTAAAAAACTGCTCTAACAGTAAGAAAGTCATCCCAAATGAAATCTTTATCTTTTATTTTTCAAATCACAATCACAATTTTTATTTGTCCACAAATTTTATACTGCTTTCAATAAATTTTTATATTAAAAAGCTGTTTTCTATAACAATTAAAAAAACTATTTTTTTCATAATAATTTTATAACCACTATTATAAAAAGCTGCAACGGTCTCAAATAAGTCAAAGTCACTACCTCTGCATAAGAAAAAAAAAATCAAAATTATATTGCACAACCATTTTGATCGAAATTGGCTGCTGGTTCCTCTAACCTCCTCTTCTTCGTGTCAATTTAATAGCATTCTCTTCTTATCTCATTCTTAAAACATTCTTTAGAAATATGATCTTCATAATTCCAAGTAAATGGAAAACAACTAATTATTAAATATGGAGAATTGAGATCAGTCGATCAAAAATATTTTTTCCATGTCCAGAGAAGCAATAGAAAGAAGAAGAATATTGATTGGGACCACTTGTCTATTGACCTCTGTTATGCTTTGTTAAACTGTTAAGTCTGTTAATAAAAAGAACTAATTTCTTATAATTAGGCTAAAAAGAAGTGGGATTCTAAGATGGAACGTAAAGTTGGCAGATCTCTTCTGGTTTCTTCCGAGCTGCGCAGGAAAGCCTCCTATTTTAATTATTCTTTAGAGCTGCAAAAGAAAGCTAGCTCTTGAATGCATTCGATTCATCAATAAAATTGATCAATAAATTTCAGAGATTTCAAATTTTAGTACCAACAGCAGCATTTTGCAGCCTTTGATCAGCCAAAAAATGAAAAAAACATTCGATCATCTCCAATGTTCCGAGTTCAAATATTCACCTTTGTTTGAACTTCATACTCTCTCTCTCTCTCTAGATTTCTTTATTACTATCTGCCATTAAAAGCTTCCTGTGAGCTTCTTCCACGCCTAGGAAATCAAAGAAGGGTAAGTTAATCTTTTTGTTCTCATGCTCTTCCCTCATACAAATGCTGCCGTTGCTTCTTCCCTGTCTCTCAGCTAATTCTGGCGCGGATGCCACAGAATTTGAATCGGAAAATGTGCACTGATCAATACTCAGGGCACAAAATGGATTACCAAGCTTCTGATAATATCCTTTTCTTGTATAGCCTAAGATAAAAAAATAGAATCATGGTCGAGAAGAAGATCATCAAGCAAAAAATGACAGCATTCCAATGGAGCTGAGAAAAGAGACCTGAGGAGAAATTTATGGCCTTTTCCTTGTGCGAAGAAAAAAAGAAGCCCTTAATGTTCTTTTTTGGGAGGTTGGTGGCGATGGACACTGACCATCCACTGCTAGAACTGGAGGATGAGAGAGTCCTCTTTCGATAAGAACTGTACTGCTCCCTCTGCTTCCTCGCCATGATCACATGCCAATGGTTCTTCACAGCATTGTCCGTTCTCCCTGGGAAGTACTTTGCAATCAAAGCCCACTTATTTCCATAGTCATGGTGAGCAGCGAGGAGCTTCTCCTCTTCTGCCTCCGTAAAGGCTTTCCTGTTTATCTTCGGATCCAATTGGTTGAACCATCTAAGCCTGCAGCTCTTGCCTAATCAGAAGCACACCAAAAAGATAAGAAAGCAGAGCATCAAATCACATGGAAGCATGGGAAAATTTTCTTCTTTACCTGATCTTCTTTCAAGATTCTCTGCAATGAAGTTCCAGTTCTGAGGGCCGAATTTTGTCACAAGCTCTGTAAGCTTGGCGTCTTCTGCTGGCCTCCAATGACCGCGAGTACAGAGCTTGGACTGCTTTCTTTCCTTATCTCTACTTTCCATCGAGCTCGCCAAAATGAGCTTCAAATTCTTATCTTTTCCACTTCCCCTGAAGATCTTCTCCAAAGGAGAACACCTAGATTTCAGAACTGAAGGCGGAAGGTGAAGAAAAGATAACAGCATTGAAGCTTCAGAACTTTGTTGAGACTCATTGATTTGTTTGGAAGACTCTCAGAAGAAGCAAAAAATGAAAGTAGTTTTAATAATTGACCCTTTATGTTCGTTTATTGCAAAGATCATAAGCTTGGAACAAAGAAAGGATTTTTCAATACTTAGGGATTATTTTGTAACCATTAAAGAAAAAAAAAACAGTAGAAGCCAACCATGTCAGTGACACAGAAGAAGAGATGGAAACCAAACCTGAGAGAGCAAGAAACCAAACAGGGGAAGTGAAGCAGCAGAAGGGAAGGAAGGCAAAGGAACAGCTTCCAGTAGAATAAAATCTCTCTCTCTCTCTCTCCGCCTACTTCGAAACTGACTGAAGTAACTGAGAACTGAGCTTTGTATGGCCTATTTCAAAAAATGGAACCCTCGTGTGGGCTGTGAGATCTTTGCTCTTAAAATGACGGAGCTACCTGCTTCCCTTCCTGTCTCTTTTGGCACCGACAGGATAAAAAAAAAACGAAAGAACTTTATTTTTAGAAGTTTGAGTGCCGATGAATTAGACAAAATTAAATATCATAATCTTATTATAACAACTTCCATATTCCAAAATTTATTTAAGAAGCATATCAATGCTCTTTCTTTCTTTATGTCATTGTTCTTACTCCATTTATATAAAATGAACATTTTTTAATACTAATTCTATTTTATAGTATGTACATAGTGTATAAATATATATGTTCAATATACATTAAATTACCCATCGTTGTTTGGCTTGGTTGGTGGGCGAGTACTGTTGGGAACCCCCCCAAATAAGTGTCCAAAGAGGTTTCTGAGGTGGGTGCCTATTCTAGGTCAACTGAGAATTAGTCACACGGTCAAATACCCTCTCGGATGTGACAGAGGATGTATATCCCGTTCCAAAAAAAAATTAAATTCTAAACTATCCATCAGTCTTGTCTTTGTATTAGAGCTTAATCTTGTTATTTAAATTTGTAAGTAACCATTAACATTTAATGACACATTGAAATAAAAATATGAGATGATTAATTTTAATGAATTATAAGCATTGATGAAATGAAATTAGGATGATAATATTCATTGAATTTTAAGAAAAAAAAAACGGCAAATCGTAATTGAAATATTAATATGATAAATGCCTTTGGGAAACGGATGCTGTTCAAATCAACAGGTAACGTTAGTTCATGAACTAATAGTTTTGCTTGCTCTTTTTCACTTTCTCCACTTTGAACCTTCTTTTGATGTACTTGAGATTAGCCAAATTTGGTTTTCAAACAAATGGCATTAATTGGCTACTGAATTTTTTATTTTTTATTTTTTATTTTTTATTTTGGCTTGAGTGATGCTTTGCTTCTTTAAAAAAAAATTATATATAGAAAAAATATCTGGACCACATTTTTATTGTTGAGTGCCACTACATTCAAATGAAGATTATGAGAGAGACAATTTGGAAATTTTTTGGAAAATTTTATAACGGGTTTTAAAATTTATGCAGATTTTATATAAAAAAAATTGGACTCTGAAAAATAGTGGTGTGGTATGATTGAAGTCTTAAAACAACATTTTACACAACTTATAATAATTTGGTTATATTTTTAAACTGTGAATTTTTACTAGGTAGGATTTTCTTTTGTCAACACTTTTAGAAAATTGTGCAATAATAAAATGTGTCTAATTGTGTTAAATTGCTACAATGTGATGAAATGTGTGTTTATGTGATTGAATTATTTGATATTGAAAAAATATATATACTGAGAGATAAAGAGATTATAATACTTTGAGATTTTGTCTGTGATTAAAAATCTTAATTCAAAAATTTGTCTGTTGGGAGTCAAAAGGCGATAGAATCTCAAAAGATTCTGCCTAGAAGAGGGGAAAATTTTGTTGGAAGTCATAAATGTTTGGAATGTTGTGAGATTCTATTTATAACCAGAGAAATATGATATGAATTGTTTTGTGATATTAATTTCAATTTAATTAATTACCTAGCATTTTAAATATGTGGATACGGCTATACTTGTATTATTTTTTTCAACATAGTAATTTATTATACCACATTCAATTACATTTAAATATATTTATTAAAAAATAATTTAAAAATTTAGGTTGGTGAATATTCTATTGAGCTGTTACAGTTCACTATGATTTTACATTATATTTTCAGGATCTGAAAAAGGGAATGAGCATGTTGATTTTTGTACAATGGCTAGCTTTGATTATATTTTGCTAAACTTTCTGTTTCGGAGCAATGTATTGTAGTGTAGATCATGTATATATGTTTTAATGAAATGAATAAGATCTTTTTGGATAAGTTTATTTTCAGTATTATGGATGTTTGATTAGTTGTATAGTCTGTTGTTTGTTCAAAAGGTATAGTGGAAAAGAATCTGAAACATTGTCAAAACTAGATTTGGAATTTGTCTGTCACGACTCAAGATGATATGATTTGTTCTGTTGAGTTGGGTTGTGACACGTAGTCTGACGACAATGGTGGGAGGGACCATTGTCGGACGATTGAGGTCGGGGGGACTGTTTTTGACGGATGACGAAGATCGGAGTAATCGAAGTTGGTGGGCGACAATGATTTGAGGACTGTAGTTGGCGGGCAATGATGGTTGAAGAAATCTTAATCCGACGACAGTGGTCAGAGGGACTGTTTTTGGACGTTGATGATCCGATGATCATAGTTGGTGGGCGCAAGTGATCGTAGGAATCATAGTTGACGAGGACCTAGGGTATTCAATTAATTCAGTACTTTATGAAATGAGTTTGTGCACATTATTTGGAGGTATAGTCATTTTATTAAGTGAATTAATATTTTTTTTCAAATAAAATTAAATTGATTCATATATAAAAAAATCAAAAAAATTGTATATGTTACATAACATAGCCTTACTATTTTTGGCTTTTTACCGTTACAAATGAATTGAATGTGCTTTTCAATGCTAAGATACTACTGGCTTTCTCGTTTGTTTGTTTAAAAATTTTAGTTTTTTTTTTAATAGTTATTAATAAATATTGTGTCTAATAACTAATTATACATTTATACCAATAAATAAAATAAAAAAACAGTCAGTAGCTTTACTTTAATATTAATTGAATCAAGAACATTCAATAAATTTAGGCTTGATTTGGGAAGCTTTCTAATTAATTTCTTAAGCAATTTTTAATATAATTTTTTTGAATTAATTATGTTTATACTAAAAAATTGTTTTAAAAAAAAAAAATCGTCCCAAACGAAGCCTTCGTCAAAGTGTTAGGAACAATATTAATTAATGCTTGACAAAATGACACTAAAAATACTTTATTTTTGTTTGTTATATATTTATGTTCAAATTTATAGAAAACATAATTCTTTTTTTTGTGTTCAATAATTAAGTTTAAAAGCATATTTTTATGTATTTATTTTTCATAAATGAAAAATTCAGATATTCAAATATATTATTGATACATCATCCGAAAATTATCTTGATCGGGCACGAATCTCAAAGCAAAATCAAGTTAGAAACTTCCAGAATTAGATTTCAGCAAATTTATAGTCAAACTGAGCGTCTCGGAAATACGAATCCAACGACACCAAATTCGACCCAATCTGAGCCCAAATGGGTCCAAATCAAGGACCCGAAGTGCTATTGGAAGGTTCAAACCACAATTTGGATTACCAAACGGATTCCAAACATAACAAGCTTATAGTCAAATCGACCGGCTCGACGAGACGAATCCAACGAGCCCAAGATCACTAAATTCCGACATCAACAACATTCAAACGTTCATCAAACGGTTCATGATCAAGGGATTCAAGATCGGCCGTCCATCCAACCACTCCCAACTAACCCTTGATCCTCCAGCTATTTACGGTCCATGCCATTCTCAAAATCTATAAATAGAGCACCCTCTCCTCTTGAAAAGGGACCCCCGGAGCCTAAGGAAAAAAGAGAGAGATCAGAGATCGCTCTTGTTTCCTAGCCTCCACGACCACCGCCGGAGTTTCGCCGGACCACAGCCGGAGTTTCGTCGGACCACCACCTGACGCCCTGTGCTCCACCGGACCACCGTCTAACGCCGTCACTCCGCCGGAACACCAGCTGACTCCCTGTGCTCTACCGGACCACGTCTAACACCGTCACTCCGTCGGACCACCACCTAACGTCCTGTGCTCCATTGGACCACTACCTAACGTTGTCGCTCCGCCGGACCACCGTTTAACATCCTGTGCTCCGCTAGACCACCACCTAACGTCCTATACTCCACCGGATCACCGCCTAACGCCGTCACTCCACCGGACCATCACCTGACGTCCTGTGCTTCGTCAGACCACCACCTGAGGCCCTCACCTTCGTCGGACGCCCTACGTTCCGCCAGACCTTCACATGAAGCTCTCAGCTTTGCCAGGCCATTGTTGAAGACTCTCATCTTTACCAGACCATCATCTAAGGCTTGGAGTTCTGCCTGATCATCATCTAAGGCCCGAAGTCCTGCCAGATCATTACTCGACACCCGGACTTCTATTGGACAATTGCTACTTGTAATCTGATCGTCTTCAGAGGAGAATCAGCCCATTGTAACTAACTCAAGTTCTAGTGAAATGTTTTCAACTGGGCTAGGCCCCGTGGTTTTTCCCCTTTCAAGGGTTTTCCACGTAAAAAATCTTGTGTTCTCTGTGTGTGAGCTGGATATCCATATAACGCTAAGACGAATGATTAAAACTCTATCGCCGCGTATATTTTAGCTCGCAACAGGTATGATGGTACTTGGGCGGTGATTGATAGGTTAACAAATTCAATACACTTCTTGGATATTCATAAGACATAATCGGTGAATAAATTAGCAAAACTATTTATAAATAAATTATTAGATGATATGCGATTTCTAAAGTTATTGCATCTGACCAAAATGGTCATTTTACACCTAAAATTTAGAAGG